AGGTTAACTTTCAAGTTGGATATTTGCTCAAACAGTTGTATCACCAACTTCAAATTCCTAATAAAGCTCACATTACCGCCTTCACAAAACAGAATCGTGTCGTCAGCAAACTGCAAGTGAGTAAGAGGGGTTTCCGCCCTCCCAACTCTCCAGCTTCTAATGAGCCCCCTAGAATCCTAGAGGTAATCTCTTTTATATAATAGTGGATTGTTCTTTTTATCATTTGGTGTAGCAAAAGCAGATGCCTTAACTGAGTTATTTGATGTTTCATTTGATTGATAGCAGCATGATTGTGTTTTATTGGATGGTTGCAAGAAATTGTTGCGACTATGTGAACTCATGAAAACCAAATCACTCAGCCATACACTCACTAGGTGATTTGGTTTATCTTTTAAGTTATAGCATGTCTTCAGAGGTAGCCTCAATTTTATCATATGATAGCGGGTGGTTCATGTATCACTTGGGGTAGCAATGATAGGCATGCACTCACTGGGAAATTTTGTCTTCCACTTAATTGAGAGGATGCCTATGTTTTAGCTGAGGATAGCAAAAAAGTGTTGTGGCCATGTGGACTAATCGAAAACAAGTCACCTAGATATGCACTCACAATAAGGCTGCAACTTTGGTTGGGTTGGCCCAAACCCGACTTTATAGTACATATATATATATAATCCTTTGTAAATACTAAAACCTCCATAACATATTTTATGTTTTTTGAATATATTATTCTTTTTGAGACCACTTACCACTATTTTGAAAACCAGACCAGACTGGATGGTCAGATCATTTGACCTGGGAATCGGTCATGGCTCCAGGCCTGGTTTTGGACTAGACTGCTTTTTTTGAAAAAAAAAATTTTGAATTAGTCAAGGAATCACTGACCTAGGATGGTCGAACCGCTAAATTGTTCAATCTGGGCAACAGTTAGTGGATCATATTGTTTTTTTTTTTATAAATGATAGTGGATCATATTTTATGGTATATGGGGCATCAAATAGGTTTTCAAAACCCTGATCAGACCAGATATGCCTCATTACCTTGTATTTATTTAATTTTGATGGTATTTTTCATTATTATAATATTTTATAGTATATTTTCAGAACTTATAAATATTTTTATGTTTTATTTTATTTATGAAGTCACGGGTTGAACCGCTTGACCTACACAATTGAATTGCTGACTTGGAAAACATTGGCTAAAGCGGTCCATTTCCAAGTCGATTTTCAAAACCTTGCCTCTTACCTGCATGTATTAGCTTTTAATCATTAACCCTAAGTGTCTTTTGTGATCATTTATGTCTCCTTTAACATAAATATTGATCAAACACGTATATATTCTAAATAAATGCAACTTGGAAGACTTGAACCCTGGTCATTTCTACAAAAATATCTTAACCATATAGCTACCGCCCATGTACATATTATTATAAAATCTTTTATATATAGTTCAAGGTTTAACATTTCACGTATCGGCCTCATATTGGACCGTTCCCAAAATGGACCAATACGCATTATGTATCATCCGATACTCCGAATTTAATTTCCCTCTATTTCTACTTTTTAAATTCAAATTCAAATTTAATTTATCTCTCCTCATTTATATCACTTTTAATTAAGCCTTTATTGCTTAATTGACAATGACAATTAGTCCAATATGCCATACCTTAATTTCTTGTCTTAATAATATGTATTTTGATTCTTAAGTAGTCTTGCTTCTCTTGGTGGATGTTTCTCAATAAATGTTATAATTTGGTTATTAAAATTTATATAATAATAAAGATTAATACAAATTATATTTATTTTCTAAAAAGTTAAGGTATATATTAGTCTATATACATAATAAATATTATCAATCTTTTTTTGGTAAAAATAAATATTATCAATCTATATCTTTTTTGATCAATTATCAATCTATATATAATAAATATTAACTAATAAATCGCTTCAATAAAATATTAACTAACAAATATTAGTATATATACACACATACATTTTAGTTCTTCTATTATTTTTCAACGGTTACCAATTATGTTCCAATACTTTCTTCATATAAACCATTAAAGTATGGTTTTTATGTTTAAATAGATTAGTTATAATCATATGAAATTCGTTTTTATTGTTGTTAATATATTTTGTAGGGTTTTTTTTTGGATTTTCTAGCGTATCCATGCATGTCTTGATTTTTCGTCTGTATCTATGTGTATCCAAAGTGTATCCCGACTTGTGGTCAAACTGTTTGACCTGTGACCCAATGCCGACAACCATTTTGGTTCTGTGTTCAGTCCAAGTCTTAAAACACTATATGAAAGTGTTGTGGTCCTGTGGACTCATCATTCAACATGTTAATCTATCCTAGTATTTCTAAATTGTCATAGTAAGATGGTATACCCTAGAGGCAATCTCTATTTTTTCATATGTTAATAAGTTGTTTGTGTGTCATTTGGAGTAGCAACAGCAAGATGCAATCAATAGATAATTTGTTTTTTTTTTTTGTTTGATTAATGTCTTTTTATTAGAGGGTCGCAAGTAAGTGTTGTGACCATGTGAACATATCAAAACCAAATTAAACAGTCAAGCACTCATTGGGTGATTCAGTTTTTCATTTGGTTAATATGATGTCGTGTTTTATTAGAGGGTCAAAAGAAAGTGTTGTGACCATTTGAAATCATTGATCCACATGTTTAACTGCCTTTCTGTTTCTTAAGGGAGTGGACCCTAGAGGCATACTTTTCAAGGCATTGAAGTGAGGCTAGATGATACGGAGATGCCTTGTCAACTAGTTTCCTAGGCAATGTTTTTACTTTTTTCTTTTTCTTTTTTGAATAAAAACCATGAACCCTAAGACAATTCCCTAGGTTTCATAACAAGCAAGCAACCATATAAACTTCATTAAAACATAGAAAATCAAACATATTCATCAAACAAATGGAAGAATAAACGACATTTCAGAAAATAGAGGATCCAAATTTCTATATTTTTCCTAGGAAAGGAAGAGAAGAAAAAATGAATGGAAGAGGAAGAAGAAAATAATCAATGTATGTTGATTGGACAAAATTTTAAGTTCTTCCATGCTTATCAGTGTAGGTTTTGAAGTCTTCGAGGGTTGTGTCGCCTGTTTTTTGGCCTATATGTGCAATCTTCCCTAAAACATATCTTTTCTGATTTCCTAAATGCTATATGGGACTTCAAAAGTTAAACAAGTAACGGAAGGCAAAGACATCAAGCTTGAAATGTGCAAGTGTATTGTATGTGTGTATGGAATGAGATGTTTATTTTTTGAAGAGAGTATTACCTGTATTACTTATAAGGCAAAATAAAACAGAACCTTTGCTGCTAAATGGGGCACGTATACCAAAAGAACAGGACTAAAAGCAAATTAAAACTGTATGCATACCTTGTATGTTTCCTCATAAACAGGCAGATATCGGAGTTCATTAGACGACTCCCCCCATGCTTCGATAAGAATGAGAACCTTATTCCGGTTATTTACAACGGTCTGAGGGTCGTCAATCAGCTTCACCATCTCGTCAAGGACCCTTTCTGCGGCAACCTCTGAAAATGCCTTCTCACAGTTTTTCACAACTGTCTCTAGTAACACAAGAGCCAGGTACTGCACCCGGGGGTTCTTCAGCATAATCCGCTTCTTAATCCCACGGATCAATTCTATGCTGTTTATTTTCTCATTGTTAACCATATCACAAATATCAAGGTTGGTCGCCCAATCAGGTCCATCCAACGTCTCAGCAGTCGCATCCTCCACAACCTTCTCAGCCTGGTTCGGCCCCTGGAAGAGCTCCTTCACTTTGAAGCTCATGGAGCTCATTCCAGCCGACATCTTTCTACCCACCTCAACTCCTTCAATCTTCAGGCGTTGCCCGAAGGCGGTGACTTTATCCATCAAATTATCACTCATATTCAAAACCCCACTCCTAAATTCCGCACCACCAAGTCAAAACCTCAACTAATTCCTTCCACGAAAAGTTCCCACTCCCAAATTGGAGTATCATCAAAACACCAAATTTAACTGTTCAGACTGAGTTATGCCCGATCAAAGTTCCTAAAAATCACTGAAACCCACTGCATCAAGGGCAAACTAAATTACAAAACTCTAAAAAAACAAAACCCAGAAAATTCCAACCAAACGAAGAAGGGAAAAAATTCAACAAAAGATCGTGTAAACTTGCAGAAAATAACAGGAAAAGAGGAAAAAGAAAAAAAATCAACTTCACTGATCAAACCAACCTAACAAGATTAAGAAGAATCACAACCACCAGAGCTTCAAAGGCTCTAAAAGATAAAGAAAGATTTCAGGAGTACCTTGAACTTGAAGTTTCGTTTGCAACGACGACGACTGAGAGAGCTCTTCTGCAGTTGCGGTCTGCCTCATATGCATTACTTTTTTTTGGCTTTTTGTGTATATATCACATATACAACTACGTCTTAATTCCTGTTACCGTAAGATGGATACTCCTTTTACCGTACAACCGTTGGATCGGTCCATTCAAAATCGTTTATGGAGTCGTTGAAATAATGACAAAGTAAACCTCTCACATTCCAAGTAAATTCAGCGTTTCCGCTTTCCCGGACCCACACGGTTGGCCATGGACCTCATCGTCTTAGTCTTCCGGATTGACCAAAATATCCTCATCGTCATGGAAGTTTCCTATTGAATCCCCTTATCCTAGATTGGAATTGGAGGGATCGGAATGTCTGAAAATGACAAAGTCAACCACTCCCTCTTGCCTAGAGTAAGTGGTTTACTTGATATTTTGATAACTAGCGGAGGGCTGGATTCAAATTGTAATATTTCTATACTAGCGGGGATTCATACGATGCGGGATTTATTAAACGAAAATTAAATAATAAAAAGGATTATTTATTAAAATACTTTTTATAATTTGCAATGGATTTAATCAATCTTCTATTAGATGACAATAAAAAATGATATCGTTGATCTTAATGTTCATTTAAATAAATTTAATCAAAAGAAAATAAAAATAAAATATCATTTTTACCCTTTATAAGACACCACTCTATTGACTATATTTGGTTAATTTTGTTTTTTGTACAAAAAAAAAAGTGCTAAGGATAGTTTTGAATATAAAATCATGGACCTAATGGCAAAACAAACACTCCTTAATGAAAGGTTGTTTAAGTAAATAAGTTGTAAAATATATGGGATGTTTTAATAAAATGAAAACTATAAGATATGTTTAAGTAAATATATAAAACTATAAGATGTGTTCTAGTAAATGACCCTAATAGAATCACATAAGAGTGTGCAATTGCTTTATATTTTCAAATTTTTAAATAATTAATAATTATTCATATTTTATATACTACTTTTAATAATTTTTTTATAATACAAAAATAACAATAATTAATTTCAGTTAGTTTTATTCATCAAACTAATGAAGCCAACCAACTCGATCAACTCGACCCAAGTTGGTCGGTTTTCTAGTATTTTAGAGTGACTTTGATTAAAAATTTTCCCAATTCAACCAAGTTGGATCAATTTCACTTTGGCCATTTGTAAACCAACCAATATATATATATATAATATAATATGAAAAAGTGGGAAATTTTCCATATTTCTTAGTCTAAAATGATTTATATCATAAATCTAACTTTTAAATTTATTTTTTAATAATTGCACTATAATTTTTAAAATTAAATTAAGATTTTAAGTTTAAATCTTTTGAACCGACTGACCAAACCAAAAAATCGACCCAAACTGATACAACTTAAGTGGATTGGTTTTCACAAAAGGTTAGTCGATTTTAGTTGACCAACTCCCCAACCTAACCAGGTCAATTTGGTTGGCCAAATAGCCTACGACCGAACTGAACCAACTCATGAACACTCATAATTTCAGCTAAATTAGTAGTCTCATATCTAATAAATAACAATAGTTTAATCTCCAATAATTATTGAAAATTTATAGCAAAAATACACAATTATTGAAAATATATTGATAATAAAAAAATACAATAATTACAAAAATAAAATAAGCACTAAAAGTATATTAACTTAGTCAATACATAATATAATCTCAAATAATAATTTAATCTCCAATAAATATTAATCAATAAGTTATAACAGAAATGCAATAAATATAATAAGTACAATAAATTAAACTTAAAAGTTTCACTAATAGTAGTTTAATCTTCAATAATTATTGAAGGTTTTCTATTAAATATCAAAACAAAATAAATTTATACATAATCATTGAAAATACATTTATCACAAAAACAATAAATAATTATTGAAATACAATAAATATTAATTTTAGTATATATAATTATGTAATAAATACAGATTTAGAGTTTAAAATTATTATTAATAAATATTAATTTTTTTGAAAGTTATTTTCTCGAATTGTTACTTGATAAAAGTGAAATTAGTTATTTAAAATATTATGTTATAATTATTTTTCTACTTTTCAGATTTTTTTTTTAAATTTATTGCATAATTTCTCTATTTTAACTATTTAAAATCTAGTTATGTTAAATATTTTTATTTAAATACTTAAATAATATGTAAAATATTAGTTATTTATGGAATTTAATAATCCATAAAATAATAATTTATACTATTATTACATAATTTCATTATTAATTTTTTAATATATTAAATTATTATTAATTTCAATATTATGTTATAATTATTTTTTTGCTTTAAAGAAATTTTTTAAATTTATTACATAATGTCGTTATTTTAACTATTTAAAATCTAGTTATGATAAATATCTAGTTATTTAAATATTTAAATAATCTATAAAATATTTTTATTTTTTTTTGTTATTTGAATTTTATTTATTTAAAGCTATTATGTATTATTAAATATTTGAAAAGCATTTAAATTGGTAATCTAGAAAAACATAATTTAAATTTGTTAGTATATAATTTCGTGATATATTTTGTAAAAATATAAAATTATTTTTTGTATTTTTAATAAATATTTTAAAGTCATTATATAATTTTGTTAGAATATTTAAATAATTCTTAAATTTTTTAATCCAAACTTTCTTTAGATAGATATAGATAAAATGTAGGGGAGAGGATAAATAAGAATTAGAGATAATTTAGGAGAGAAACTCTCTACTAAATTAGAGATAATTGTGGAGATAAATAGGAATTAGAGGACTCCGGATCTCCTACCCACGAGGACTCTGCCCACGCCTACTCACAATACACTACCCCCCATGAATTGGGAACATCTCCCCCTGCATAATAAAATGTGTGGCTGCGATAAATGTGAGCAGAGTTCTCATGGGTAGGAGATCCAAACTCGAATTAGAGATAATTCTAGAGAAAGTGAGCGAGGTAGTTTAGGATAAATTTTAGGAGAAGAGATTATTTAGGTTATTGGGAAAGTGCATCTCATTAGTTGTTTTAAAAATGAAATGAAATAAAAAAAAATCAAAAAAAGGAGAAAATTTCTTGACCGCTTCGTTTTACTATATATATAGATTTGTTATATAAAAAAAGATAATGGTTTTCTAATAAAAAATTTGCAATTATAAGTAACCAAGTCTTGATATTCATATCAAGACTTCAAAGAGATCATCATGTACTTGTTTTTTTAAATATTGCTTTAGCAAAGCATCTTATATAAAAGAACACAATCATATAGTGATAGTTCTAAGTTCTACTTCATAGTTGTTCTTTGTTTTACATCGAGAACTCCTAGTTGACCCAGACTGTAGGACCATTCGGCCCGGGAACCGTCTAGGCAACCGATTCCATTTTACCCCAAACCCGGTCCCTAGCCAAAAATCGTTGAATCAGTCAACGACCCATTGACCCTAGCTAAAACGGTTTTGGCCATTTTTTAATTTTTGTTGTCAGAACGGGCCATCTGTTCAAACCAGACGATCAAACCATCGACATGGAAATTGGTGGTTAGAATGCTTTCATTTATGGGTCATTTTTCTTGTAGATGTCAATAATTAGACGAAATAACTTTGTAGTCATAGTCATGGGACGAGTGGACATTGCAAGGGATTTCAAAACCTTGAAAGATAAATCCAAAGTGACCTTAAACACAGAAAAAAACTAGTAGTAAATCCATCAAACTGGAAAAACCAAGGAAAAAAATCAGAAAATCGAGTCCAAAGTTCCGCTTTGAGTCAGAGCTGAACATAAATGCAATCAAAGAAAGAGACAAAGCAAATCGTCTTGTAAGAAAAAAAAAATACACAAGAAAACCCAAAGAAAAAACAAAAGGGAAGAAATAAAAGGGTGGTAAACCCTAGACTGTTTTAGAGGATCTTGAAGAAGAAGAAAATGAAAAAAAAGAAACATACCACACACTCGAATAAAGCCCACAGTAGAAGAAACCTTTGAATAGTGAAAATCCAAAAGCATAAAAAACCATGATTTTTGAACCGCTATTGACCCAGACGGATGGACATTTTGGCCCAGGAACCATCCAGGCAACCAGTTCCGTTTTACCCCAATCCTAGTCTCTGACAAAAAATCGTTGAATCAGTCAACAACCCATTGACCCGGGCGGTCGAATCATCGACCGATTAACCCATTTAATGGTTTTTGGCTATTTTTTTTAATTGGGAACCGTCTAGGCAATTGGTTCCATTTTATCCCAATCCCGGTCCCTGGCCAAAAATCGTTGAATCGGTCAATGACCCATTGACCTGGGTGGTCAAACTGTCAACCCATTGACTCGCTCAATGGTTTTTGGCCATTTTTTAAATTTTTTTAAATTTTTGTTGTCAAATTGGGCTGTCCATTTGAACCAGACATTCAAATTGTCAACCCGAAAACCAGTGGCCAGAAAGGTTCCATTTTCGGGTCATATGAATCACATGCTTGAATGATATAACACGTATGATACTGCTTAATGGACCTCACATACTCAATTTTTTGCTTGTAATTTTTGTTGTCAGAACTAGCCGTTCATTCGAACCGGATGATCGAAGCACCATTTTTTTTTGTTTTTTTAATTGGAAGTCGTGCAGGCAATTGGTTTCGTTTTACCCCAACCTCGGTCCCTGGCCAAAAACCGTTGAATCGATCAACGATCCATTGACCCGAGCGGCTGAATCGTCGACTCGTTGACCCGTTCAATGGTTTTGGCCATTTTTTATATATATTTTTTATTTTTGTTGTCAAAAAGGGCCGTCCGTTTTAACCGGACAGTCAAACCGTCGACTTGAAAACCGGTGGCCAGAACAGTTCTATTTTCAGGTCGTATGAATC